AATGAAGGCATCAGACATGAGATACAACTGAAATGACAAATACTGGTATTATTATGTTATCTTATAAATTTGCATGACTTTCAAACAGTTGTAGTAACTTTTCAGATAACCATAACCATAACTGTCATATCGTAAGCACTTTTGCTGAACGGGACATGTAACCAGTGCTACAATGTTCATATGACCTCATTAATATGCATAACTGTCATATATCAAGCGCCGGTCCAATTGGGGATATGCACCCACTGCTACATTGTATAATAAAAGCATCGGACAAAAGATTAATTTGCATAAGTGTAATATCTAAAGCAATGTTGCAGATAACTGTTGCAGATCGGCATGTGCAATTAATGCACTAATACATCAGATGATACTAAGACTAATATATCAGATGACCATTTTTGATCGTGTGATCGTATAAATCCATAACTATATCTCATGCATTGTTGCAGAGAGATGTGCAGCTAGAGCTATATGAAAAGTGTCAGACAAGGGGCATGACTAACCTAGCAGATTCTAGCAGATCATATTCATGATATCCATGTTTTACTATTTATCGAACTATAAATTCATTGTCACTATTTTCATGTCACTATTTGCAAGAATAATGTCCACATGATCATCTAATTAAATGTATTCCTGTATGTTAACTAACCAAGGAAAAAAGTAGATAGTATTACTAAAATTAATTATGTACATACATGTAATATGTAATACTAATTATTACTACATGTAGGTACTAGTAAATGTTAAGTGGGTAAAATTGCTTAATTAGATGCTGGCGTGATGTGATCTGCCATCATCAGGACCCAAACCAAAATGTGCTTTAATATTTCCTCTTTTCTTGAGAGTCCATTCCCCTCCAGCTGGCATGCTTAACACCAGTTTGATACCAGTTTATAACAATCCTCTGGGATTTCAAGAAGTTTGATTCAAAGAGCAGTGGTCGTCACACAGTACGTTTTTGAATTTCATGTAAACAATGTATTTTACACATGTTGATACGTTGCTATGGATACCATGTCAAACACAGCACGGTTTGATGTCCACCGCCATTTAATGCTTTGAAATGTGCTTTCACTCGTGTTTCTATTCAATTTTTCGGTGAATTTCCTCGATTTCTCTAAATTTTATTCTAGACTTTGCTATTTTAGCCCGAGTTTCATCATCAGAGTAACTATATTGGCATTACTTTCTCGTTCATGGATTTTATCATTGGTGGCTTATGCGTTGAACATTTATAGAATAATTACCATACTGTCAACAATTTTTCGCTCATATAGATATAGCAAACCAGTCATCAATTAACATTGTTTCTGGCAATGTTGTTTTTTTGGTGTCAGAAACAATATGCTGATGACAGCAAATACAATATTTATTTTTAACCATATGGATATGATTGATTTTTTTGTCAGCTATGTTCCTTGCTCATTAATTTTCCCTGTAATATTTTCAGTTTATGTTTTCACATACACTGCTCAGGTATTTTTGTCAGTGTAATCTATTCGTTAGGGGTGAGCCTCGACATGTATTTTCTAATTCTGATTTGCGCTTAGATTTGTCTGCCTTCTCCTACTGGCTACACTTGTCACTAGGCTATTTCCTCCCACCTCACATTGAATATTTTGATCTTGTGACTGGCCTTGGCACTTTCCTTGTGTTATTCGGTCCCATAGCTAAAAAAAGAAAGAAAATAATAGTGCTAACCTGATGCATGTTTGTCCAGGAAGTCCTCATACAAAAACACAAGAAAATCAATGAACAATATTTTGCCAGCTGTTAAAGTGAATATCATTGGAACTAAACTGTGATTGAGTTCTGTAGGTATTGTCAGATATTGATTATTTTTCCCCTCAATAAGCTTCCATGTAATATATTAGATTTCAATTTATAATTTTGGCTGAAATCAAACAAACTTACTGCAAATCAATATCATTCACTGTATAGTACTAGCAATATTGGGAATAATGTATAACATGCATTCAATAAACTAGTTTTTGAAAATAAGAAAAGTTCATTATAAGCCACTGCCTGCTGCTGGTTGTGTAAATATGAACAATTGTATTATGATGTACATATATTTGAGGGTTTGCGTCTTCTATTTTATGTTGGCAGGCAATAATTTAGAACAATTATGGGGCAAGTTGAGATGCGTGCATTACCAAGTTTAAATGTTTGTTACAAAATTTAGATGTGGACATTGCCAAGTTAAGGTTCTGGTATCACTGCAAGTTAAAAAATTGTTTGCAAATTTTTATGTGCAAAGTATGCAAAGTGACGTGTACTCATTGCCTTAATTTCATATTTAAAAAACCTATCCCCTGTGTAATAACCTGATCCTATCATACATGTAAATGTATATATTTCTGTGGTTGTGCCCTGTTAAAAAAAAAAAATATGAACAGTTCTTACTTGGAATATAAGTAAAATGGATTGTTGGCTGGGTGGTCCGCTGGATGTATATTGATTGTATTTTTGCAATGCTGACTAGCCCTGTAGATCGATAATTGTTATTAGTTGTATGTCTGTCAGTTTGTGATGAATGTTTACTTTCTTATTGAACTCATCTACTCTCCAGCGATATTGAAACCATTTATTACCCAGTCAAGATTACCAATTATTGATTACTGTATATTACTTTCATTCTACGTCTCAGTCACATCAGGTTTTTTTTTTTTCTCTCGCTCTTGAATTAGCATTTTGCATTCAGATCAGTCCAGCGTAAATGAAGTTATTGATCTGTTCACTGATTACTTGCGTCTGATATTGAACAACTATCAATCAATAGCGTTTCCCATCTGTACTGTCTTTTATTTATCGACGCAGGCAAAATATATAATGGTATTGATTACGTGGCCTTTCCATTCAGACTGTTAATATTCTGATCTTTTCATGGGTTTGTCACAGCTTGCTGCTTGTAGATGATTACAATGCCAACAAAAGCTGTGCTCCCACTCACAATTACTGTATTCACCTTGTAATTATTATACATGCGAAATGTTTATACTCTAACTAATCTAAGAATTAAACAGTTTGATTTTATTTAAAAAAAAAAAAAATAATGCTAAAATATACTGCAGTAATTTAAATGCAAATTTAGTTTAAGGTGTAATTGTTATTGTCAGTTACTGATGTGCATGTTAAATGGTTAATCACATCGAGTATGAAACTATGATGTCATTAGCATGCTGTTACTTGAGTTGCATTAACCCCAAATTCAGCTTACTGAACTTACTAAATATTAATATTCAAGGAGCCCAGGTTGGCACCAGTTGGAGCCTTTCTATGATCAAAATAAAATACATATACCATGTAGCTGAACTTTCAACAACATTTTGTTGTTGGTGTCTAATACAAGCACAAAATGTTTTCCTTGGTTTATACATTTTACAAATGTTATCTACAAATCAAACAAATTCAACAAAACAAAATAATTAACTTATACATCCAAAAATTCATACCTTTTTCAGAAATATCAAAAAATATATCCATGACCTGACCACTGATATTAATATGTTATTGTTTGCCATGTTCAATAACTGCATAAGATTTATTAGTGAAATTTGAACTTGGTTATGAAGCTTTACTGAGGGAATAGAATATATTATTCATTCAATGTCAGCTGTATGAAGAAAAATCAAGTATTTCTAACTCATTCAGTTCCAACTTATTAATGTCCCAAAGAATTAATTTTAGAGTGTTCAAAACCTAGTAGAATGATGAATCAAGATAGAAATTTTTATTTCAAATATTATGTCTTAATTTATATGACAAGCCTTTTATTCTTCAACCCGTCTAATAATAGGTCTTTTATAATATCAATAGTAATCATGCTTTGAATTGGTTTCCATCAATGTATTGTTGTACATATATCAAGTCTTAATAGGTCTCTTGTGGTCCTCTTAATGAACCTTTATTATTCTACATTTGATTAGATACAAACCTTTGCTGTTAATCATCCAGTACTTAGAACATTGAGTCATATCAATGGTTACACAATGTAAAATAGAGCCTTGGGTGATTAATAATAATTAATGGTACTGTATTTGCTCTTTTTAGAAGTTCACATGAATTGAAAATTGTATTTACATGTAATGTATGCTGGATCATTAAAATATTTCGACTTCGACGAAATTAAAACTTATTTCAACCATAGACACACCTCTACCAAGGGCATCAAGTGTCAATGTTTTACTTTTTCGACTTCTTCTTGAAAACTACAACCCTGAATGCTTTGATACTTGGTGTATATGTACCTTGGGTAGACCTCTCTTAGATTTGTTCATTTCATGATGATATCTTCAATTTTCTAATTTTGGTGAATATTTTTGTCATTTTTGGTAAAAAGTGATATTTTCAACTTCTTGTTAAAAAACCGCAAGTCCAATTGCTTTGATATTACATATATAGGTACTACATGTGGATCTCTCTCAGATTTGTTCATTTCATGATGATATCTTCAATTCTCTAATTTTGATGAATATTTTTGTAATTTTTGGTAAAAAGTGATATTTTCCACTTCTTGTTGAAAACCGCAAATCTGATTGTTTTGGTACTATACATATCGTTCATTTTCTAATGATATCTTCCGTTCTTTAATTGAAATGTGCATTGCTAACAGCGGAGCTATCTCAGTCGAGAGGCTGATTGTTGACTTAATTTATTAAAAGATTACCGGAGCAAACTGAAATTGATTAAATTTAACTTCCATCATTCAAAAGTTTACTGGAATTGGTTGAATCAAAATACAAATTGGTTAACTAGAGTACACAGTTTAAGGTTTACTGGAATTGGTTAATTTAATTCATTATTATGTCTAGTTAATTCCCAAATGAAAAAAGCCACAAGTAGAGTGATATCATTTGTCTGACACCAACAACCATAAAATGAAGTTGCTTTTCTGTATATTCTTTACTACTCGATAAGTAAGAAAACATGCGGGATCAATTTGTTCACTTTCCCTCAAATATGCTGTAACTTGATATATGTTTATTTTTCAGACCCTGTTCCAGTGCTGGAACATGCAATGCAATTACAAAAGAAAATGCAGAGGGCTCAGGATCTGGAGATTGAAAATCAAAAATTGAGAGAAACCCTAAATGAGTATAATAATGAGTTTGCAGAAGTAAAAAACCAAGGTATGTACATATTAAATGGCGTATACGATACAGGGATTTTTTTAAACAGGGGCGCAGTGCCCTCATGCCATGGCCATGCGCCCACTTACCCTGGGCAGCAGATCCTCTGGCAACCATAAAATTCTGAATGACCAGGGATTACATGTGGCCACAGTCTTCAACTGTGACCTGTCTGATAGTAATTTTGGCCCAAAGGAAGCCATAGAATGCTCCATTTTAACTTTTATCAAAAACTCCACACCCTGGTAGGGAGAACCCTATCTCCCCCACATGGTGGCGACGCTGAATTGCAGTGCTCCCTCTTGCAGTTTTTTTGTAGAAAAACCCCTGATCATATTGCTCATATATTAGAACAACTTCAAATCAAACTACTAAGTTACTACTGAGCATGTTACTGCACAATATATGTAATGCCAAAATTAAATCATGGATGTGCCAGAGATAGATTTTATTGCTATGCAAGGCTACAAAGTACTCATTCAACCTGCATTGGGTTGTACTAGTGTAAATAAATTAGGCATCAGGGAAGAGTTAAATGCCTTTATAATTATAATTTGGTTCTAAAACAGGCATCACAAACTGTTGAACAATTAATCAAACACAAAAATTGTAATGTATAGTCTAAAAGAAGTTTCAAATAAAATTAAACACAAATACATTGCTTACTGTAGTAGCCAATGATCTCGGTAGCAGAATTTGGTCATGTTGTGCTGTGTTCCACAATTGAATAACTTTCTTTCGAGGTGTGGCAATTGTTCATGATTATAATAACGTACAAAAATCAATTTGTTGGATTGTTTCTAAATGCAAGTAAAATTCAACTTAGTTTCATCTAAAGTTATCAATTATCTTAGTGACAACAGCCAATTTTCAAAGCGAAGTTTACTCATTCACACTAAACATTGTACTCATAAATAGGCATCAGTGACAACAAATCTAAATTAGACCCTAATTCAGGCACCAGGAAAGATGTTTGAAAAATGGCACCTAAATTAGATGAATTGACCTAAATGTTATGTGTTCTCAATACATACATTTCATACTCTACTGATGTTACATATGATTTCAACAAAACAATTACTTCTTATTCTACTTCTGTGTTTGTATGGTTGTGGCTAATGCTTTTAAGAATGTTGTATAGCAGAGCTCAAAATCTCCCAAGTTCATTCATTCCCTACCTGACTGGTGTAAGGCTCTTCTGAATTACAGTGTATTTATATTATTTTGAATAATCATTCCAAGGTGTTCAAAAGTTTTTTTCTCCTCAAGATTATGTTCCCTCATAATACCAAAATTAAAGCAATATGGGAGATGATGGATATAGCAATAATTAGTCCCTGTAAAACCAAAACTGAGAGTCATGTTTTGGATTCTGTATCAAATTCTGTATCAGATTCTGTCTCGGTCATGCCAGGATAATCTTATCCAAACTTAGCATTGAAATCACTCATGGTTACATCACTCATTGTTATACTGATTTGTTTCTACTGGTGGCTATGTTCTTTCCTTTTTCATGCGTCTCAAACATATAATGTACCATGACCCAATTCTTTTCAGAATAGGTACACAGACCAATAATAATATACATATGGGTGTTAATTTGTTTATTTTGCTAACCTCTGACTGACTGGTGTATAAAACTTAATTTGAACATGTCATCAGCCATTTCTCATGCATGGTTTGGTCAATTTTATTCAAACTTGAAACCCAATCTGATTAAAATCATATGTTTGAATGTATGATCATCAATGTATATCTTTCAGACTACATCTAAAATACCAATGCAAATTGCATTCAGATTTTATGACCAGCAAGCAATCAGAACAAGCGTCAGATGTATACATTGTAATTGTGTATTAATAGTAATGATTCATACTCTGTAATAGCCAAAATAGTTATGATCAGCACAAAGAATATATGGGGAAACACTGCATATGACAAATGTTCGAACAAAAATTTATTTATTACAGAGGTAACAATAAAAACATTAAAAGAAAAACTGAAAGAATATGAAGACAAGATGGAAGCTGTTGCCCAGGCCAGGGCGAAAGAAAAAGAAAAAGAATTACAACGTGAATTTGCTGAAAAAGAAAAGGTAAGGCCATCCTCCATCACCCTGATCAGTGTTTGTCCTCTTTGACATTCCAAAATTTTGATGAAGATATTTGAAATACAGAAAGTACTAAAAGAATCTGGCAATGTAGTTTTGAAAACTGTGTTGAAAGTGTATTTTCAATAGATGTGCTCATACATGTAAAACATTCATTGTATGCCAGATCATTAAAATGTGACTTAATTTGACCACAGAAACGCCTCTCATGTATGTTAGCTCATACACTACTAATAGAGCAAGTACAGTATTAATTCAACAGCAGAAACCCCCAGTTTGTAGGTATACATGTATAACATGACCAGTAAAAAGTGACCCAGGAATTTCTCATATCACTCACTTGTCTGTTACCTACCCAATTGATTACAATTGCCCAGATATGATGAATCATACTTTAATTATTATCATTGTTTCAGACAACTTCAAGAAACACAGCTCTCTGTTGCAACAAAACTGGGTGAGGCTGAACTGAAAGTTGCTACTCTACAAAGTGGTAAGTCTTAAAGCATTATTAGTTGAGATAGTGTTTTTACCATGCTCTCTGTTTAAAAATAATGAATCTTCCACAGTGCCTTTTTTGATTAGCATAAAGGTCTATGGCAAAATAATGTGTGATGACATCACGTCCAGAACCTTCTTCAAAACCAATATGATGCTACAGGGGATTCATTATTGTTATCTATCACCACTATCAGAATCAGAATTTTTGTTGAAATAAATTTTACTTTGGAATAGAGGTTTAAATTATTGTCTGACAATGTAAACCTATGATGTCCTAAAAACCTCTTCTGATAATGGTGATTTCTAATGATTCATGGTACAATTTCTTTAGTTAAATGTTTTACATTCTATAACAGACATGACATTAATTGTGTTCTTTTTTTTAAGCCATGGACACTACACAGTCTGAGCTATTTGATTTAAAAGCCAAATATGATGAACAAGCAGCTGCCAAGTAAGCTAAAATAATATTCATATTAATCACTGTACATTATTCTTGTAGAAGTGTGCTTACAGTAGTATATGTTTTTTCAAAAACCTTTCACTTGGAACTCTGATTTTACTGACCTTTGTGCATATGTGCATGCCAACCTGTATTTCGGAAATACCTGGACTAATGCTTTTTCAGAAACCTTTCACTTGGAACTCTGATTTTACTGACATTCGTGCATATGTGCATGCCAACCTGTATTTCGGAAATACCTGAACTAATCGCATTCAGACTTCACACATACATCTTGCATTAAATGTGCACATGTATTTCTTTAATGATTCCAATGGGGGCCTTTTTACTGTTAAAAATCCAATCAGTTCAAGCATTTCTGCTATTCTGGAACCAATTGCATTCAAACTTGGTTATATACATTGGATGTTATGGCTCCTCGATGCATATCATTTTGTTTTTGAGATCAGATTGTTTTTAATGAATGCTATTCTGAAGCCAAATGTCTTGCAGTTACTTGTATGTTCATTTCATTTTGCTACTTTAATTTTAGATCTGATGAAATGGAGATAATAATGACTGATCTAGAACGCGCCAATCAACGAGTAACATCTTCAGAGAAAGAGATTGAATCCTTGAAATCACAGTTACAGTCCACAAGTGAAACATTGAGACAAGCAGAACAGATGCAGAAAGCACCAAACATGGTTAGTTGCTATTCAGGGGCAGAACTGTCCAGGATTAGCAGACTAGGGCAGGGCGATAGACACTGGTCAGTTATATGTAATAAAAATACAATGGGTAAATGATATAAAATATAGATGTCATCTTTAGGTGGAGTGAGATGGACTCATTAATTTCAATCACAATAATTATGACTTGTGATGCATTGATTTTCAAGGAATTGATTATTATACAAATTTAATCAGGCAAACTAAAATGTATTATTATGCAAATTAGTCATGATACTTTACAAGTCTGGGGAGAACTAGTCATGTATAGTCCAATTGACCATTTTCCGTTCTCTGCAAGAATCACCCGTTATGCGTGAAATCGAACGTAAAAACAGGACAAACAAAGGTCATAGCATCGCAGTGGTGTCAAACTTCGCGTGGGATTCGACGAACACGAAAGTATTTTGGGAATATTTCCATGCTTAATAATGTGCTGTACAAATTTGATGATAGGCAATTTCGATGAAGTAAGAGTATTCAAAAGCAATATTCCTCTGTCGAAGATCGGTTGGTCGATGTGTGACTCGCAAGATCTCGCAGTTGAACGAAAAAACATCTATTACTGCACAGCCAAGATCAGAACAGTATTGTATGTGCTCTTAAAGGGCTTACTTAATTATCCTATCAAAGCCCAATAGATAACTGTTTGAAATTGGTCATTGTACTATTCGTCATGATTGATGCAAGACACAGTGTTTTTTCTACACTCCATCAACAGCCATTGACAAATGCTGTATGTCACACTTACTGTATAATTCTGTGTTTTGGTTTTGCTTTGTTATGTGGCAAACCAAATGCTTGATTAGTGTTTGCATTAGTAAGAAAACTATCAATTGGGGATTTTCAGCTTCTGATGAGATTTTTGCAAGGTACTGGCAAACTGTTCAAGAATATATTATGCATATTTTATGTTTTCTTTTTTTGCTAGGAGCAAGCCATAGATATATTAACAAGATCCAGTCTTGAAGTGGAACTGTCTGCTAAGGAAAAAGAAGTAAGCAATTCACGGTTATACACGTAATATCTGGGTAAAATGTCATAGCAAGTTTAATTGTCCAGGAAGTTCATAACCTATGGTGATTATACACATCACAATTCATATATATAGCCCTGGATAATTAAAACAATTTTTTTTCCAGTTATTTTTAATGATTGTTTAATGTTTTTTTGCATTTAAAAATTTAATATATTGGTAAAATGAAAAGATTCTGTTTGCTGTGCGAATGTTTTAATTATCCACAACCCCAACAGTGCCACTGTTACACCAACACTGCTACTTTAATGCTTAGCATTTTCTTGTAGGTTTCACAGCTCGTAGATGATGTTCAGAGATTACAAGCTGCCAATACTAAGTTACGAGATTCATCATCAACACAAATCGCTAAGTTAGAAGAACAGATTTCTCAAAAGGCTCTTGCATTGAAAAACCTTGTAAGTATTCATGTTATGCAAAATAACTTTGTAGTGTTCTTCCCAGGATACAAACAATGGTGTATCCATGCTTGTTGGACAACAGGAGGCTCAAAATCTTAATTATATGCAACAATGACAATGAAAGTCAAAAAGCAAAAAGTTCTTTGGGGTTTGGCATGAACTTGTTGTAGTCTGTTTACGTAAACCAATGATCATGCGACAGCCAATGTCAACAAATTTAATGTTTGAAGAAAAGGTTATTCCAATGTTGAAATAAAATCATAAATGAAATCGAAAAAAACGTTTTTACATGCATTGTATACTCATTAATTACTTGCTGAACATGACATGTGTCATCTGTATGAATTGACTTTGTAGGAAGGAAAGATTCAAAACCAAAATGATTATGAAGAAATGAAACGAGAACTGACAATCATGAAATCAATGGAGTTTCAGTTACCTGAAGATGACACCTCTAATCAACAAAAATCACTAGAAATGTTACTATTGGAAAAGAACCGCGTCTTACAGTCAGAGAATACATCCATGAAGTTGGCAAATGCAGAGATGAGCAGTGAGTACCCTTGCCTTATCTTGTTATGTTGTAATTGGAAGGCCAAACTTCACATGGAGCTCTACATGTGATTTGGTTTTACTCTTCCACAAGTTCATGTGTCCCTGTAGGAGGATGATACAAAAAAAAACCATTTTCGTATTCTGAAATCCTATAAAGAAATAAAATGATTACTCAAGTACATTTTTATTCTGACACCTGTGAGTTATACAAAGTGCGGGAAAAGAGTTTTCTTTTTTTACACAAAAAAAAAAAAACTTGTTCAAAATGCATATCATGTATTTGTGATGATTCTGTTCAGAATTGAGTGAGTGGAATGATTTTGAAAACAATTTCACACACACTGCATACATTGATCCCCATTCTTCCACGACTTCATGCACTCTCATTTCTATTTGTTTTATTGTGTATCTGTTCACCTATACTACACCCTGTCTTATCAATCCCAACCAACTTGAACTGTGGACACTCCCACTTTTTATTTTAGCACTCAACTGTAATTTACAATAAGTTTAATAAATTAATTTTATTGTCCGACTGTTTTTGTTTATATATTTATTTGTCATTCCATGGGAGGTTTTGCCACAGTACAAGAAAGGTTCTTTTTAGGCTATTTACGGTTTAGATTCTCTGTTTAGACATTCATTTTTCCCAGCATTAAATTCCTGCTTTTTATTAACACATGCATCAAAATTGCAACCCTTGTCAGTTGGAAAAAAAAAATACTGAACTAAAAAAACATGAAATTAAAAAGCTTTTGTTAACCTTTCTTGTAACTCTAGGTGGCGGCACTTCCTCCCAGTCACAACCCAGAAAGTTCACAAACAACTATCAGCTATCACAAAATTTTACCGGCAAAGACACTAGCCGCACAGACACTAAATCTTCAGACAGTCACTGTGTGTCACAACCGTCGTCACCGCGACCTCCAGTACAACCGTTACCAGCCACTGCGTCACCAATGGGAACCGCACTGGTGACGAGAGCCATAGCTTATCCCGCTTTAAAGCAGTGCTACTTGGACTCTGGAACAATCAATACTATTGAAGTAGCCAGGATTATCAAGGATTTGCTACTAACATATAACATTGGTCAACGGGTGTTTGGTGAATACGTTCTGGCTATGTCACAAGGATCTGTGAGCGAAATATTAGCTCGGCCAAAGTTGTGGGATAAGTTGACCGTTAAAGGACGAGAACCGTTCATCAAAATGGTAGACTTTCTTGCTGATGAAGAAAATATGCAAACTCTACTAATAATCAATGCTAAAAAGAAAGGTAAGAGTTTCTATGAATATTTTCTGTATTGGGCTTAATTATTCTCTGGGTTGTATTTTCATTTATTTTGCTGATTGCAAAATATACTAATTAAAATTATATCCCAGTGAATATGCAAAGTTACGAGTAAAATGTATCCTTTACACACCTTTAAATAAAAAGACTATGATTATTCCGGCAAAATCAAATCAACCGAAATTAAACCCACTGAATATTGAGGAGATGAGCTCCTACATGTACATGTACAAGACTATTATTGAAACATGACAGAATCAATTAGGTATCATATTACAATTAAACTGCCCAGAGAATGTAATTGTAAAAATATGAAAACCAGGACTTGCATTACACATAGTCAAGTACCCAAAACTTAAATTAGTAGTCTTATTTTTAGTTCACAAATTCACCAGGAAAACAATTATTAGTCCCCGTTCGGACGCAGTCCGAAAACGGGGACTTATGTTTTGCCCTGTGTGCGTCCGTGCGTCCGTGATCACCTGTATCTTGAACATGCATGGACCGATTAAGTTCAAACTTCACTCATACATCACACCTTATATGGGACATATGCACATGCATTTTTTTCATGATCCGATTAACGATAGCCGAATAGCGGCCATTTTAAGGCCGAAAATGCATCAAAATCGCACATTTTCACCATTCCGGACCCGGATCTCAGTTATGCATGGACGGATTTTGTTCAAATTTGGTACATACATTAAACATAATAGGACCTTGATGCACGTCATTTTTTTTTTTGGATCGGGTTCGAAATGGCCGACTGGCGGCCATTTTGTTTTAAAGAATTCAGTTCTGGATCCGTATCCGAGACATGTCTGGATTGATCAAGTTCAAACTTCACACACACAAGGTACATCATATCACAAATATGTATGTGCATTTGTTTCATGATCTCATTAACGATAGCCAAATAGCGGCCATTTTAAGGCCGAAAATGCATCAAAATCGCCACATTTTCACCATTCCGG